CCCTAGTGCGACGTTGACCTGGATGACCAGCCCATATTGTGTCATGACTCTCCCTTATGATCTATCGTCTAATGTCTCCAAATTTAGGCACGTAGACCTACCGACTATGGTAAGTAGTACGCCGCCTTCTATCCAAAATCGTCTCGTCTTGCCTTTGTTGGCCAACTTGATAAGCTCTTTGGCTGCTAGATCATGCTGAATGCCTTCTTTTATAGCCTCCCTAATGTCCCATCTCGCTGAAGTAATTGCAGCAAGCTCGACTTTCCGGCTCAAGGCATCGGCTACAACATTACCTTTTTCCAGCTTATACTCCAGCACATAATCAAACTCGGCCAAGAAATCCTGCCACCTAGACTGTTTTGGTGTGAGCTTCTTCTGTGTCTGAAAGTAGCTAGTAGCCGCATTATCAGTCTTGACCACGAACCTCGACCCGAGCAGATAATGTCTCCATGTACAAAGGCAATGCACAATGGCAGTCATTTCCTTCTCTTGTACCGTGTAACACCGCTCCATCTCATTTAACTTGCGGCTCTCAAATGCTATGGGATATCCAGCATCAGGACACCCCCAATGGCGAAGTCTGAGGCATCTGTGTGCACCTTAAATGTCTTGGCAAAGTCAGGTAATGCGAAGACTGGCTCCTCTGTTACAGCTGTCTTAAGGCATTCAAATGCCTTTTGACAATGCTCTGTCCAAACCCATGGCTTGTTCTTCTTTAACAACTCAGTCAATGGTGCGGCCTTTGCTGAGCATCCACTGATGAACCGATGATAGTAGTTAACAAGGCCAAGGAAGGATCTCAACTCAGTTACCTTTATAGGTGCCTCCCACTCCTGGATAGCACGTACCTTAGCCTCGTCCATGCGTAGCTCTCCATTGCTAATGACATGGCCCAAGAAGTGCACCTTTGATTGTGCGAACTCACATTTCTCCCTCTTGATGTATAGCTCATTATCTCGCAAGACTTGGAAAACCTTCCTTAAGTGCTCCATGTGCTCCTCTAAGGTGTTGTTGTAGATGACTATGTCGTCTAGGTAGACTACCACGAACTGATCAAGGTAGGGATGGAAGATCTTATTCATAAGGGTGCAAAATGTGGTTGGTGCATTGGTTAAGCCCATTAAACTTTACACAACATAAGTATTGTTATATAAGAAATTTGAGACATCTGATATAAAAGGAAAAGAAACCACCTACAAATCAAAAAATTAAGTAGTTACGACACATCAAGAAAAATTAAGCACCCACGAACATAAAATCATGGATCCGCCACTGGGCATCACCAACCACTCAAAGGCTCCATATCTCGTCACACATGCTGTCTTTGGCTCATCCCCTTCCGTAATGTGAATCTGGTAGTAGCCTTTTCGAAGATCCACCTTGGTAAAGTACTTGTCTTCCCCAAGTTTATCGAATAAGTCAGCAATGAGCGGGATCGGGTACTTATTCTTCACGGTGACCTTATTAAGTGCTCAGTAGTCTATGCACAAATGCAATGATCCATCCTTCTTCTTCTGGAACAATACTGGTGCGCCAAAAGATGCCTTTGATGGATGAATGTGACCAGCATCTAGCAGCTCCTTCAATTGTTTCCTGAGCTCCTCTAGCTCAGGAGGTGCCATACGATATGGGGCAAATGCGGGTGGATTAGCCCCTGGCTCCAACTCAATCTTGTGATCCAACTCTCGCCTGGGCGGCAAGTGCTTAGGAAACTCGTCGGGCATGACATCTTTGTTTTCCTTAAGCAACTTCTCTATGCAAGGCGGCACTGTCTCTTGAAAATTTTTGTGTTCCTCTAGACTTGCAATGGTTGCCACGAACGTCGGCTCCCCCTTTTTGATCCCCTTGACAACCTGCATAGCTGAGAGTTGTGCTTAGATCTGTCCGTATGGCATAGTCACTGTAGGTACCATGCAAGCTCCTTCTTGCTCCATAACCAAGAGACGTTGGAGGTAGGGGTCGATTAAAGTATGACAATGTCTAAAGAACTCTTGCCCCAATATGATGTCAAAGATATCCATAGCGGTTACGGTAAAGTTTGCCATACCTTTCCAAGTTTCCAATTTGACACCAACTCCACTAGCTACCCCACGAGCATTCTGTATCTCGGCATTCACGGTCTTGACGCGAAAGTTGGTTGGAGCAAGCTTCAATTCCAGTCTTTTTGTGGCAGCCTCAGTCACGAAATTATGAGTTGCTCCAGTATCCATCATTGCACGAGCGGGCTTGTTGTTGATGGTGAGATCCACGTACTGATTGCCATTCTCGGTAGGTTGGATAGCTTGCTTCGTGATAGCACCACATAATCCGATCATACCCAACTGTGCGGTTCCCGGACTCTCTCTTTGTGGTTGCTACTTCCGCTCACGTACTATGGCACTGAGGCTCTTGAGGTCAGGACAATTCCTGAAGCCATGTGGCCCTCCGCATATATAGCATCCCTTCTTCTCGACCTGTGCTTTCTTCTCGGCGTAGCCTTGATGACCACTCAACTTTTTAAAATCATGAGTCTTAGAGTATTGTTGTTGTATCTCCTTGACTTTGCCACGGTCTCCCCAACCTTTGACATTGTTAACCTTTGCCTCCTTGCCATTGCCTTTGTCGTGCTTGTCATGCCTGAAATCCATCAATGATTCGGCTTCCACTATGGCTTGGTCTATATCAGTGACTTGTCGGCATTGCAACTCCTGCTTAGCCCAATTTTGCAACCCGTCCATGAAGTGGAACAACAAGTCATCATTGGTCAAGTTGGGGATTTGAAGTATAAGGGTAGTGAACTCCTTGACATAGTTACGTCTGCTCCTTGTTTGCTTCAATTCCCTAAGCTTGTGCCTTGCCTCGTACAAGACATTGTTTGGAAAGAACTGTCGCTTGAACTCCGCCTTGAACTGATCCCATGTACTAATAGTACATAGACCTTTATCCACGTCGTCCATCTTCCTTCTCCACCATAGTATGGCAGTCTCTTAGAGGTACAATACCGCAGTGTTGATCTTGGCCTCGTCGTCCCTCACTTTGCCATGCCTGAAGTAGTTCTCCAAGTGCCAAAGGAAGTTTTCCACTTCTTGTGCATCACGAACACCTTTGAACACCGGGGGTTTGGGAGCCTCGATCTTGGCCTCCCTCATCACCACAACATTACGGGCTACCTCGGTCACGCCAGCATTAACATGCTTCTCGAGTGACTCTATCTTTGCCTTCATAGCATCGATAGTACTCAAAGCCTCCATGAGTCTGCACTCTAAAGCAGTGATGGTTTGCCTTAGTTCCATCTCAGTCTGTGTACGTCCCTCTAAGTCATTTCGGATACTCTCAATCTCTTCAAGAGTGTGCCCCTCAAGAACGTTAAGGGTGCCTTCCACCTTCCCCAAGCGTTGGCCAAAGATCTCCACGACGTCCATCCTCGCGTTCATCTTCATCACCCACTCTTTACCGAGCGAGACGTCCTCTGGAAGGACCTCCACTTCATCCTCGCTCGCCTCAGTGGCAGATGGTTCTTGGGATGTAAGCCCTTCGTTTGACACAACCTCAGGTGGCACCTCCTAGCTCTTGTTGGTTGCATTCCTCTTTTTGCTACGGTCGCTCTTGCCAGCAGCATCCTGGATAACGTTGGCTTGGGTGTTGGCAACGTTAATTTCTCCGTCGTTCTCCATTCCCTTAGTTGAAACCTTCGCTCTGATACCACGTTGTCACGTCCTTAGTTGTTAACTAAGTACATGTGCGGCACTTAACAACTCACTCACGATCTTGCACAACTTGCTCACGTTCTTGCTATGTCAAGTTAGTCTTACTACACTCAAGATCGCTAAGAGAATGGAAGAAAGAACACAAGAGAATTGTTAAAGGAAGCTTTGTATTAGAGAGAACTTGAATTGTTTGCTTGATGAATTACAAATGAATGATCCCCTTTATATACTAGTCTACTAGGGGCAAGTGTGTAAATATTAATTATTACACAAGTCCTTGATATTTACAAGATAAAGGCTTTTTCTAGAATTCTCTACAAGCCTAGAAGATTCCAAGGACTTTCCTAGCAAATCCATAAGGATCTAGGTTCTTCCTAAGGAAATATCCATACCTCTCTAGAATCTTCTCACAAATGCTAGCCTTCTTCTTATGTAAGCTTCCACATGACATTAATATATGTCAAATGGCACCTATGTGGCATGATGACATGGCGGGTCATCACATAATGGAGTATATATTTGGAGTATGTTAATTAGAGATTGAAGTCACTGATTATCGAGATACACACAAATACAATCAAGTATCTTGATAGCTAAACAGTGTACATACATCAATGATTGATGAAATTGGTTAGGAGAGCAAAATGTAATGTTACAAATTTAAATTCAATATATGCGATGAGAACAATATTTTGTTTTTATATTGTCGGTTCGTTTTCGAGGGGGGTTTTGATTCAGCGCACACACGTGACGAGGGTACAGGCGGGCATTTGCAGGCTTACATCGTGTTTGGACGGTTGTTCCCATTTGTATCATAATATATTGTTATCCCAAAACAATATTTGTTTTGATTGTTTTATTAAAATTGATTGTATTGTATTATTAAATTTATTATTTCGGAACAATAAAAAGTCCCCCTTTTCTAAACAACCCATTTGATGTGATAGGATTGTTTCTTATTTTTCTTTTCAATTTTGCCCTAACTTATTACTCCATAATTCTATTCTACCCTTTAGCTTTTTTTGCTATTTTAATTCCAAATCTCCAACCTATAACCTACTTTATTTTTTTTCTAGAACTTCTGCCGCTAACGTTAAAGGTGTTTTGCTACTTTCTGTTTTATTTTTTTTCCTAATTTGCTTTTATCTCAATTCTACTTAGTTGTGCTCCTTTGGATTGCCTTCTTCTGTTTCGCTCCTTTGTTCTGTTTTCTTAAGGATTTTGCCTTCTTCTGTTTTATTTTTTAAAATTATTTTTATGCATAATTTTTGATAAATTTAATATTTAAACAATCGAGGGTATTTTAGTAAACTTATTAGTTACAGTACAGTACGATACAGTCAAATCAAACAGTAAAATATAATTTAATAATAACAAACAATACACTCTATCCAAATATTGTATTTATAAAACGATACGATTCAATATAATACATTATAAAACGACGGGGAACAATGATCCAAATAGAGCGTTAGGCTTTTGCTTTGCTTTATGGTGGCAATTTGGTGTTTGTCAATAAATATAGGGGTACATCAGGAAATACGTGGTTTTCGTTAGACCACTATCAGATGCGGACAAACCGATAAAATAGAAAAAGACGCCCGCCAAGCAATATCCGAAAAGCTGTCTTTTTGTTCAGGTTTAATTATAATTGCCCCTTGAACTTTTCTTTTCTGAAACTTATGACCCAAAATTTAAATATAACAAAAACAGCATACGTTATCTTTTCCTCGTGGTGTTGGACTGTTGGGGGAACAACTTTGTGTTGCATTCACAGTAGTATGACGAATATCTTAATGTGTACGACATAAAGTTGCCATCTTAGTAGAAGTTCAAACATATATGCCCTGCATTCATACTCAAAAGACTTTTTCTTTGGTACATAGAAGGAGAAAAGGGATTGAACCAAAAGGGTTTCAATTAAACCAAACATTATTATAAGAAATCTTATAGACCTAAGTAGCAATCTTATAAATACAGTGCAATTTCATAAGTGGAGTTTGGAGAGAATAATATGTACACAGACCTTACCTTTTTCTTGAAAAGGTAAAAAAATTATTTTCGCATCGGCTCAAGAAAAGATAAAAAAGAAGAAGCGGTAACCAGACTTGTTAAACAGGTCGGGCTGGCCCACTGCCAACCTTATTCGACCCGGTTCAGCCCGAGTCAGCCCGGCCCGCTAAGGGAGTGGGACGGGTTGGTGAGAGTTAGGGGTTTAGCTGGACGGGGGCGGGCCTTTTTTGGTAACCGGTGCCTCGAAACCCGGTAGGCCCGGTCAATGGCGAAGACAAGCATTTTATTTAGGGTGTTCAAACTTGAAATAAGTAAAAAAAATCTCCGATAAAGGGTGTTCAATATATGTTATATACCGTTAAAATTTAATATTTTACCTATATATATATAGTATAATTTTTCGACAAAGGGTGGTCAATTGGGTAACAACCTTTTTTTGCATTTTCAGTCATTTCGGCCTACCCTCTTAAGAAAATAGCCCTCCACCCCTAATAATTGATAAATTATATTTATGACCTTTTAAAAACTATAAATAGCCCTCATCTTTTTTCGTTTTTTCTCACAATTTGCTCTCTTACTACTTTAATTCTCTCTCAATTCTCTCTTGATAATATTACTTATTGCTCTCAAGTTCTCAATTACGTATTATTTCAAGTTTCATCAAATATTTACTTTAGCTACTACAAAATTATAATTATCAATATCAAGTATTCAAATGAAGAGTGGTATCAATATCATCAAATATCAATTGAAGAGTGATATCAAATTTAGTGCGGCATCCGGACTCCCAATACACTCGTTCTATCTCTTTCTCTTCTTTGGTATTTATTTTTATTTTTATTATTTAGAATTATTAATTTAGTTTTTTAATTTAATTTACATAACGGATATATTTAGAGCAACCAAAAAAATGTGTACTAGTAAGGATGGTAGTAATAAAGAGTAAAAATCTTAAAAAATCAAGGGGTAGTACTGGTTCTTCTAGTAGCTTTACACATATTTCTGAAAGTTCACCTGAAAATTTAAATGTAGATTATGAGCAACTTCAAGAAGATTATGGTATAGATGATATTCAATCATATGATAATCTTGAAACATCACCATCTACATCTGGTACTGCTAGTCAAAATACTAGAAGTGGAGGTCGTCGTAATACAGGT